CATGCATTCCAGTGTTTATAGCAGTGAAATTCACAACAGTCAAGTTATGAACCAGCCTAGGAGCCCCTCAACAGATGAATGGATGATAAAAATTTGATATACATACACAATAAAGTTTTATTCAGTAATACATACACAATAGAGTTTTATTCAGTCACACTTCTTTGTAGACAAATATTGAATAAAATATTCAACAAAATATTACATTTAATATGGGAATTTTTGCTGTAGTTATGTTAAATTTATAGATTTCATCTGCTCCACTAGTAAATTTTCCCATTTATGAACACAGTATGCCTATTTATTCAGATCTTCTCTAAAATTTTAATAAAGTTTTCTGGCTTCTTAATAAAATTTTATAGCTATGTTTGTGTGCTCATTCCTAGAAAACAATACTATGGCTATTACAATAAGGGCTTTTATTTTTCATTACTTGTTCTAACTAAATATTGTCAGTGTATATCAAATGTACTAATTTTTGTATGCTAATTTTGAATTTGGCCAAGTAACAACTCTATTCCAGTTCTATTAGTTTATTAATTATTTGCTTCATTTTTTTGCTAAATATCTAAAACTAATAATTTTTATTCTTTTTAATAGTTAATGACTAACCTCATTATACTGACTACCCAAGGTAAATAGATGTGATAGTCTGACATATCTTATTTTGAAGTTTAGTGAAAATGTTTCTAATGTCTCCTCATTAAGGGTGATGTCTGTGGGTATACTTGCAATGTTCCAACCTGATTACATGATATTTTTTTTCAACTGGTATGTGTAATAAGGTTAAATTAAGTTTTTTTTCCCTTTATATCCTTTGGCTTTGATATGGTTCCCTTTTAGTACAGTGGCATGTTTAGTTTATTATCTTCATTAAGGATTTTTACAATATCTGAAAGGCTTTATACCAAAGATTTTTAGTATGATTTTTATTAATACAAAATATTCCCTTTGGGCCTTTTAATGCTATTCACCCTGAATTCAATTTTGTCTGTGAATACTGCCTGCTACTCTTGCCTTATTTGGGGGCTACTTTGTTCTTAAATGGTTATTGCATGTTCTACCACAGAGCTTACACCTTTACCTTAGTAAAGATACTTTTGGTGAACATGTAATCAAGGTTGACAGTGGAGATTTTTATTGTTGTTGTTTTTGCTTTTTAAAGATAATATTCCATTATTTTTTAGTTTGGAATGAAAAGTCAGTGGTAGTATTTATCATTACTCCCTGCTCTCTTCCTCTGGCTACTCTTCAGATTTTTCTTTTTGTCACTGGTTTTCAATAATTTAATTATGGCATGCCTGGTATAGTTTTCTCTGTTGGGATTTATTTTGCTTTTTGGATATGCAGATTCATGCTTTCCATCATATTTGAAGAAAACTCTATTATTTTTTCAAAATGTTTTGTTTCAATCATAATGATTTTTCATTTTTATATCATATCTATATGTAAGATTATTTAATATTTTTAAATTTTTTATTTGTCCTTTTAGTTATATATGACAGTAGAATGTATTTTGACATCACATATACATGACTTCCCATTTTTGTGGTTGTACACAATGTGGAGTTACACTGGTCATGCATTCATTTGTTAACATAGGAAAGTATGTCCAATTCATTCTACTGTCTTTCCAATTCCCATCCCTCCCCTCTTAATATTATTTTACAATTTCTAAATTTAGATTTTCTAAATCATTCTGTGCTTCAGTTTTGATGTTTCTACTGTCCTCAAGTTAACTGATCTTTCCTTCAAGACTGGCCAGCTGGTTCTCAAGCACATCTAGTAAAATTTTCATTTTAGATATTGTATTTTTCAAGTTTAAAATTCTCATTTTCTAAAATCCCTATTTATTCTCTCAATATAATGTTTTCCTTTAAAATCTTGACCACATTTTTAATAGCTCCTTTAAACATCTAGTAATTTGCAAGCATTAATTTTGGGTCTATTTTCTAGTTTTGCTTCTCCTTCTAAATATTTCTGATTGTATGCTTAGCATTCTGGAAGCTACACTGTTGACTGTATGTTGTCATCCTTCAGAATGCCTCATTTGTTCTCAAGGCAGTTAACTTAGTTAAAATTATCTTGGTCCTTTAGATAACTTGTTTTTAAGCATTGTTAGTGTGAATCTAAAATACCCTTCACTGTAGGATTAAATCAGCCCTTGGGCTTTCTGAGGTCTCCAAAGCATGGTCCAAGTTCTAGGTGCTTTTCTGCTCATAGATTCTCAGAAGTTGTTCTTTCTCTGATATTTTCTTTTTTTCCTTCCCTTCTTTCTTCCCAACTTGCTTTTTATCTGTTTATATGGGTACTCCTGATAGTGAATATAGGTAGTAGTTACCAAAAAAAGGAATTCTGTTTCTCTTATAACAAAAAGAAAATGGTTTCTTCATAGGCACATGCTTTATTTCTAACATATATTACAGAGAAAGAATCTTGAATAAAAAAGTTCTCAAGTCATATCTACCTTCTTACATATTCGTTTTAGGTAGCATCTACATTTCCTTTATTTCTTGTCACCCATGGAAATCATTCTGATTCAATAAGCAAAGATTTATTGAGAACAGTTTATATATCCATAGTTGTGGTTTCTGCAATCCAAATTTTCTATTTTCATGCCACTACAAAGTGAATATGAGAGTTTGTCATTGAAAAAGAAGAGCTCCCTTTTAATTGATCCAAATAAAGAAAGAAGGAATTCTTTAAAATGATTTTTTCTTCCTAGTCTTTCCCTCATTATCTATACTGTCTTGCTTCCTGGCTATTTACATTTATTCATCAGTTTATTCTAAGGCTGAGGTGTTTAAACAAAATCTCCTTTGAAAGTCAGTCAAACTTTGGCAGAAAAGGGGAGAGAGAGTAATACGTGTTCCAAAGTACTGCAAAGATAGGGAAAAGTGAAGTTCAGAACACAGCATTAGCAAAACAGGCAGGATTTTAAAAGAATGCTTTACATTTCAAAGACTCAATTGACATATTAAATATGAATAGAAAGACCGGAATTAGGAATATAAAGACGTAAAATAACATTTGCCTAAAAACAAATCATCATTTTAAAAAGGCTCAAAATTCAACTGAATAAAAGTTATTTCCTATTATTTCAAATACTTTATAAAGAATATCAAATATACAAATACTGTGCCTCTACAGTACCAGAAATAAGGATAAAAATTATTTGGGGGAATAAAAGGAATTGCCATCAACAGACAAAGGCAGAAACGCACATTAGAATATCTGTTTGAATGGTGAATGCATAAAAAGTGCTATATATTTTCAAAGCAACCCTGAGTTAAAATAATTGGTCAAATTGGTTATGATTTCAGTTATCCTGAACAAAAATACATTCACAGATCATATTTACTTTTAAGGTACTTTACAAATGACATTTTACAATTTTTTTTAAGGAAAACCTCATAATTTGAGCCATGGAATAATGGTGATTCTTTTATAGTCTTTTAGCTCTTTAAGTAGGTTATGTATAAAATGTTTTGGGATAATCAAATATAAAGTCACCAAAATATCATTAAATTCATTTACTCTTACATTCACCTATTAAAGGAATTTCCTATTTCCCTGTCTCAGAAAAATACAGTCCTTCCCACTCCTAGCCAATTCTTCATGCTGAATCAACAGCTGCCTCCTTGCTCAGCTTACTGCTGTAGTCCTTCCCTCCAGAACAACAGGTTTGGACCACATCTGGAACAACACCCTTTTGGATACTTGACATATTCAGTAGTTATTTTCTGAATTTTTTAATATAAATATTTGCTTAAGGGCAGTGGTAGAGTGCTCGCCTAGCATATATAAGGCACAGGGTTCAAACCTCAGCACCACATAAAAATAAAATAAAGATATTGTGTCCACCTACAACTAAAAAATAAATGTTTAAAAAAATATACATATTTGCTTACATGTTTAATTGACCCACCAGACTATAAGCTCCATGAGGACAGAACAAAGCCTTTTAAATCAATTTTTGCCCTGTTAGTAAGAAAGCACTTAATGCACAGTTGTTCAAAGGAAAGAAAAGAATATATAGATAATTTTGCCTAATTTTCTACTTAGTGTTGACAATTTCGTTAATTTCTTTCTTAAAATTAAGGAGGTAAGTAACTGATCTATCAGTTACTTCTAACTGTAATATTCTAATACTTTGGAATATTACGTGGTTCTAATATTTTAACAAATGGTTCTTTGTCCTGAACCCGTTCCTGATACAAATGGTGTCTGAGTTTTGATGATTTGACATACTATTTTTCAATTCTACAGTGGTGAGAAAACAATACACATTTCATAGAAACCATACTGCAGATTTTGAATTTTGGTCTTTTCCTGGGCTAACAATACTCTAATTAGATGTTGAGCAGCAGCAGTGATCTGCAGCTCCCAGTCAGCAACAGGATCAAGAGGGAAAAGAACTGGCACTCCACATTGTGCAATGCTGCTAAGCTGCCATGGTCAGTAGTGGATTAAATGAGTTTTGACTTTTCATATTTTCAACTTAAGATGGGTTTATCAGTACATATTACTATCTTAAATTGAAGTATATATATTATATTGAACAATTTTATAATACATTTATAGAAAGCACTGTGGTCCAAAATGGTCTATAAAATAATCATCTGTATCACACAATAAATATATTGTTGATCTCCCATGACATATGCAACATTATTCTGACATGTTTGTACTCTTTAAATAGGTTATGTATAAAATCTTGGCATTATGGTTATACAGCTCCAATTATTATGAAAACAATTTAAAATCATAACTTAATTACAATCATTTACTAATTAGAGATTTTGGAAAAATTTTGGCAAAGAATAAAAAAATGGACAGTGTCAGGTCAGAACCCTTAGGTGCTGAGGCCAGAGAAAAAGTAAAAAACTATACATCTTCAAAAGTAAATCTCCTAGTGTTGAAAATAATTTTTTTCAAGAAAAGTGCTTGATGGTTAAAAATATGTGACTCTTTAGCAACTATAGACCAAAACCACTTACTTCACTGTAGCACTTAGGAGAAAGTTCAGCTGTGGCATTAATAGGTTGTCTGGGGCTGACAGATAGCGATCAAACTGAACCTTGAAAGAGAAACACATAAAGTTCACTGATCAGCTTTCAAAACATTTCAAATAGAACAACTTATTTTACGAATTTAAGGATTAAATCTTAGGAAAAATCCCATATTCCAAATAACTAAATCTTTTTGTTTAAATGCGTATTTCTTAAACATCTAACTGAATTTTTCTAAAACTGCCAACTTTATTTAATAGAGTCACTACTAGCAACACCTGTTTTAAAACCCTGAACCTAAGTCATTCATTTAAATCACCCTCACCAAGTTTAACAAGAAGTAAAGTTACTCTGGTTCAAGTATATCTTCCATGCATCTACTGTATTTGTTAATCTGCTTCTTTGTCCATTCATTCAACTGGTATTTCTCAAGTACCTGCTATTAGTAAGGTCCTCTGCTAGCTAATGGGGATATAATAGTTAAGAGGATAATCCCTAGCTTCACAGAGCTTAGTGAGACAGATATTTAAAAACCAATAATATAAATACTACAAAATTACACACAGTGTTAAATACTACAATGGGAAAACCAAGGTAGCATAAGTATAAGTCAGGGATCCAGGTTTGTGGGTTTGGCAAAAGCCTCTGTAAGGAGAGGACATCTGAATTGAGAGTTTAGGATGAGCACAAGCTACATAAGTAGGGAGAGGGTTCATGGAGAGGGGACTGCATATGAGAAGGCATGAGAGGAGAAGGAAAATAGCTAGATATGTAGAGATCAGCTCGCATAGGACTTGCACACTTTACATAAAAACATTAGTAAGCCACCAAAGTTAAGTTAGGGTATAATGTGACGTACGTTTTAAGGAACTAAATCAGGCATGGAGAGGAGAATGAATGGAAGACTGCGATAGCTGAAGCAAGGTGCCCAGTAGGCAGCTGTTGCAGCACTTTAGACTCAAGGGGCAGCAAGGAGGGAGGCGCAGAGGCACTTGAGAGTCAGTGCAAAGTCGCCAGGATTTGGTTACTGATAACAGGAAGAGGGGACTGACTCTCACATTCTGGATCTCTTAAGTAATTCACATTATTATCATAATACTTAAATGCATTCTTCATCCATCTGTTTAGCTGTGTAACAGCTGTACTGCTTACTAGACCATGTTCATTTTCATGCCAATTCTTAACATAATGCATAGAAAACAGCAGACACTTGGTTAATGACTGCTAAAATGATAAATGGATAGATGTTCTTATTCCTCTCTAAGTTAAAAGCAGTTGGAGGAGAACCTGGGTCTGGCAAGGCAGGGTTAGTTTCGGATTTCCTGAAACCTCCCATTTGGAGGTTACAATCAGTAGATATAAAACCATAAATCACACAAAAAACTCAATCAAAACTTTGTTTCTTCTGAGACATATGCAACTTATTTTTCAGATCAATACCAGACATATAAAATTTTGAATGGGGTTTAAAAATACGTTATAGATTATGTTATGGACTGAATATGTGTCAGAAGGAGAAAAAGGGAGGAAACATACATTTACAAGTAATGTAACTAATCTTTGTTTATATATATATATATATATATATATATATATATATATACACATACACACACATATATACACACACACACATATATATATATTCATTTTGTGAGGATAAATAAAAATTTATGTGAAATTATTGACTTATGTGTTGAGTTTACATATAACCTTCTCAGAATCTTATATCTTTTGTAATGAATCTAAGATTCGTTTTCACTAATTTTAAGTTGAGCTTTTTCCTTTGCAGTTTTATAGTGTTCACTGATCTAGTTTTATTTGATACATGAAGTTATAATTATTACCTCTATACATAGTGTCTTTTGCGATGACATAATGTTCCTTATCTTTCCTATTAAGTGCTCTAAATTCTCAAGTATTAACATAGTCATCTGTGTTCTTTGTATTTGTTAGGTATTTTGTAAGCCTATCCCTTTATTTTCAGTTGTTTTTAGCTCTTCAGTTATTTTTAGGTTCAGTTATCTTAGTACTAAGTATTTTAAATACTTGGATAGGTGGCATAGTACAGTTGCTAAGCTCACTGGCTCTGCAGGCCAGCTTCCTGGGCTGAATGTGGTTAGCATGAGGACTAAGGAGTTAAAGCAGAAAAAAAAAAAGGCAGGTATGCTCAGTAAAGGATAAAGGCTGTTATTGTTCATTGCTGTTATTATTACTATTAATAGTAGTACTATTTAAAGCTTTTAAAAGGGATCCTTTGTATAAGGAATAGGGTATATATACATGACTTCAAATTAAAAGCACGAATGGTTATACATATATGCAAAATACATACTTAAGACAGAGAAACATGCTACAAAGAATGGAGCTCATGCAGAAAGGAAGGAACAAGCTCTTCACCTGAAAAGAAGTTAATAAAGTGGAGCTTCAGAAATTCTCATGCTCAAGAGTAATATTCTGTTTTAAAACTGAAATCCAATTTCAATTATCATCTCAGGGACAAGTCAAGAACTATAAACCAGGAACCATGGCAGTAGCAACTCTATGATATGTAGCCCCACTTCCTTATGTCTGTCAGTCTTGTTTCTTCATTAGGTTAGCAATAAAACTCTGAAAATGAAGAAATCCTAAATAGTAATGATGAAGCCATTAAAGTAGGTGAAATGTTACTGTAAATCACCCTCTTGGTTAATCTGATCAGTTAAAGAAATATATGCTCGTCTGGTGTTATTGGACCCAATGTGAACACAATTCATCAAAACAACAAAATGATCATGCATAACCAAATTATCAAATAGAAAAACTTTAGAACAGCGTTTCTTAAGGAAATATAAGCTGAAATGTTTTATTATGCACTTACCATTGCAGCCTTCAGTGCCACAGAATCTAGATTGGGCAAATTGGCTAAACAGCCCTATTTAACAAAAAAGCAGAAACAAGATATGAAAATGTGGATTTACACATTAATTCACTTAGGGAACATGGTACACTAGTGGGCTGCCTCAATTTAAGAAGTCATTTAGCTATTTCCGAAGAAGTATCATTTCTTCAACTTCAGTAAGAACAGTGACTGTGATTTTGAGGGAGTTAGAAGCACATAAGCTCATCAATAGTGGAAATATTATTTATTCATAAGCAAGAAAAAGAAGATGCTAGCAAGATGAGGCTGAAGAATTTCACTTTGATAATTTTAGAAAAGAAAGAAAGAAAGCAGAATTGGTTTCTACTTCTATATTTCTACTGGGGCTGTATAACCATGTTAGGTTATGCTGGTTCTAGAAGCAAACCGCTTTCCTTTAAGGATTTGTTAAATTAAAAAGAAGACAACTACCATTTATACAGCAATCTCTGTATTAAATTAACTGATAAAAACAAGTGACTTTGATAAATGAATATTCTCTATACATCACATGATATTAGTTTCTATATATTTTCATTACTTTTTTAAAAAAATATTTATTTTTTAGGTGTAGATGGACACAACACAATACCTTTATTTTTATGTGGTGCTGAAGATCGAAACTGGGTCCCGCCCAGCTAGGCAAGCGATCCACAGCTGAGCCACAATCCCAGTCCCTATTTTCATTACTTTTAACCAAAACCATTTGTAGTAGGAAGGACACTATTTGGGGGTACCCCACTCAGTCCGAGAACTATACATGAATCATCTCGATTTCAGAACAGTCCTATGAAACAGATACTATTTTTATTCCCAATCTGCAGTTGAGAAAACAGACACAGAGAGAAACTCACCTCCCCAGGAAAACACAGCTAATCAGTAGGAAAGCCAAGATTAAAATCCAGAGGCCACACTCTACACTGACCTATTTCCTCAATTAAGAACACCAATGCTTACCTGTTCAGGTTTGTGTTGCTGTACGGTGTTATAGATGTAACTCAAGCCTACTCTAGTTAAAACATAAGACGCTTGCTCATTTATAAGTGTGTCCAAATGTGCTTCAATCTAAAATAAAACACAGTAGAAAGAAAACAATTTAAAAGAGGAATAGCACTGATGAGAGTAGAAGCAGACCACCCGGAGGCTGAGGCTCATCACCAGGAACCTGTTTCCTGGAATGGCACTGACAGGAGCCTTCAGACAGTGTCTCTAAAAAAGGCCTTTTCTTCTCCCAAAGAGGAAGTCCTCCTACAAAAGGAAGAGAAAGTCTGACTCAAAAGGAGTGAACACCAAAGAAGATTCCAAGACTACCCACTCACCAAAGAAAACGGTGCTTCTCAGCTCTTTTAAAGCTGGTAATTAGCAGAACACAAACAAAAAACACCACAACAACTGTGTCCACTAAAACACTTAGGAAGAGTTATGAGAAGATGAGGGCTCTGTATGCCTGACCTCCTGACCGTCAACTTGCTGGACTGACTCAACAAATCAAATCAACATCTGGAGAAGCCTGGAGGAAATCCCCCCAGGTTGAGGCAGTAAATCCTCCTGAGGATCCAGCAGGTCTGTGACAAGCAGGGAGAGCTGAACCCGGGTCCAAGATTTCAGGTTCAGAAATGGTCAAGAAGATGTGAGTGGCATGTGCTCCCCAGATCTGTGCTATCTCTGGGGAAGCCACCTAATGCTAGTGGGGGCAGAAGGCAATGATAGGAACACTCAATTCACCAGTGGCAGCATTTCCTAATAGGAAGATGCCTGGACTCTTCCTTCTACCTCATTGGGAAGCCCCCAGTTTTACCAGTTTGTTTACCAATGGTACAGACAACTACCAACTCTGGTTATCTGCCACCATCGAAGTGCTTGCCTTGTTCAAGCAACTGCAATAGCTGTTCTCTTCCCCCTTACAACTTTCATTTATTTAAAGTTAATGCCCAGTGATGTATAATTAGAGCTCTTACTTACTGGACTTATTGGAAATCAAAGAAAAACAAGATGTGCAAATGTAAACCTTTAAAGAAAGTGAAAAAGAGAGTAGTTACTAACAAGAACCAAATAAGCGATCTGAAAGAAAAAAGGAAAGAAACTAACACAGAACAAATATCAAAGAAATAGATTAAAGGGAAGAAATTTAAAGGAAATTGGAGAACACATCTTTAAGATTAAATCAATCAAAGGCAGAAGCTTTAGAATATAAAAAATAACATATAAAGAAGATTTAAGAAATAACAGAAAATTTTACTGACCAAAAGAACGGTTTAAGTTTCAAACTGAAATGGCTCTCTGAAGTCTAAGATGGAAAAAGAAACACTTCTAAAAATATGGATAGACATAGCCTGGTCTTTTTACTTGAAACACTGGAAGATGCTAAAAAAGTCACTGGAAGAGCAGAAAAGTTACTAATAAGACAATTAATAGAAAAGGTCTGAAAACCAAGAATTCTTAGCCCAACAAAAATCCTTAAATTGGAGGACCCCAATAAACCAGGTCTTCCCTTAGTCACACTAACACAGCCCTTTCCCACGCTGAATCCGGGGTGCTCTGTGTGACCAGCATTGGCCATGGCACATGAAAAGCATGACCCAAGCACGGGCTTAACTGACACTTCCACATCACGGGTTGCTATCCACTCAAGGAGTCTGCTGGTGGATTCTGGGAGAGCAGTGAGGAAATGGCTCAGAGAGGCGTGAGAAAGGGGCATCTGAAATTTCTGCTGACAGAACAATTACTGAAAATGCCCCTATGGTAATAAAGATTTGCCTGAGGAGATTTCTGGAGGAAAAGCTGAAATATATGTCAAAAGTCCAGATGACTCATTTTATGGGGAAAAAAATAACCAAGGATCTAGAGAACGTGAATAAATTAATAAATTCAATAAATTAATAAGACAAAGAACTTTGTACCATGCAAAAAATTAGTATGGAACACTTAACCTGATACTGGTGATAAAGCAAGCTGATGAATACCTGAAATATTTGAATATCTTAAGAAGAGATTTAGACAACTTTCAGAGATTTGGATTTGAATCAGTGGCAAATACAGAAAAAAAAAGTGAAAATTTTTAAAGAAAATGTTAGTAATTCCACAAAAAGCCAAAAAGTTACTCAAGAATGGGGGAAAAAAATCACTCTTCATTACATGGCTCAACCATTAATGGTGTTTACAGTCATAATAATTTAATGCAGTATAAGTCTAAATAAAAATTATAACTACATTTGAAGGATGGGAAAGCTCTCAGTATACTCAATTACTGTGTGTGTATGTGTAAGTAAAGAAATAAATTTTTATCACTCAGAGTACACATTCAATACATTAAATCTATATTTTAAAAAATTAGTAAGTAGCAATACAAATATTTAGTTACAAATATAAATACCAAAAGAGGTAAATATAAGAACTGAAAGAGGTTGTCCTTTTTAGAAGGAGAACAGAAGAAAGATGTTTGGGTGGAGAGGATGGTACACTTTCTTTTTATAACAAACTCTAGAATTACTTAACTCTAAACCATTAATATAGATAATTTTGAAATATTTCTTTTAAAAGAAGGAATTAGAAATTAGAAAATATCACAAATTTAGACCTAGCAAAACTCATTCCTCAGAAAAACTCAAAGTTTAACAAATGAATTTTTACTATATCTACTACCTACTTGTGATAATTCAGTTTTGTTTTTTTTTTTTAACATCATACCTACCAATATCACTTTAAAATTGGAACTCATGTATTTGGTGAATTTTACAAATAGCTTTATTTTAGCCATCATACAGAATCCTAAGCAATACCATTTGGAGAAGGGGGGACTGGTAATAACAAATTGTAATGTTTTGCCTAACACTGGTTTACACACAGATAAAAATATATCTGTCCTCTGTAACACATTTTGCATTAGCTACAGAGATTGAAAAATATGGCATATTATTCACAGCTCAAAATCTGAGACTGCATATAGCAGTGAATAACTATTCAAATTATTCATATACACTGCATGCTACCATGCTATACTATGGTCTGAACCAAGTATCTCAACAATTTCATACTCTGGCTCCTCCAAAGCTGAAAACCAAAACACTGAACATGTGGTATGTCTATGTATCCATCCTTCCACCACATTAAATCAAGGGATCATAGTAATTAGGTCACGTTGTCAAAACCAGTAGCTTAAAGTGATCACAAGAAGAAAAATGGTTCCATCACAAGGAATGGTCATTCTTTAGCAAAATTTACCTGAAACTGTAGCATTTCCAGACGTCTATCAGTGAATTCAAATAGGGCTAATGTTGTCTTCATCATATATAGTGAATTAACCATGAAAGTGGCCATATCAGCTGTGCCCAAATTACTGGCTGACACAGTACACATCTGGAGGAGTGGATCCAATACACAAGACAAAACCTGCACATGAAAAACAAAATCAATTCTTTATTTCCTAATGAGTGATACATTCCTGGATTACTGGCATTTCAGAATTAATGCCAAACTAACTGGTAAGATGCCAACTTACAGAAGAACATGAAAAAGAGTAAATGATAATAACCATATAATTTTAAAAATGGGTATGAGTGAATAAATTCATTTAAAATAAAGATCGACAATAAAAAGGGGTTATCTAAATATATGAGTTACAAATGCCAGCATTCAAACAGAATGTACAATAAAGGAGCAAAAAGCAATCACTAAAAATGAATTCATAAACCACCTGCACAAAGTCAGCTTGACGAGCATCCAATGGTATAACTGAAGAATCATGCGATGCCAAAACTTCACGCAGCAACATGAGTGTCTGATTGAGTGCAGCACTTGGTCCAAGATCAGGTGGTGGGAGTTCAACCTAAAATAAAGAACGTTTTACCCACTCAACTTTTATCTTTCCACTAAATTTTTAGGTATACATGCCAGTTCATGATAAAAACAACACATGTACAAAATAAAAAATACTGGCTAACACATTAGAAGTCTATAATTTATCAGTAGCTTATTTAGAACTATATTAATCAACACAAAAAGCAATACAACTTTGGTCAGATTATCTCAGAATTTCATTTGAATTGAAGAATTATATTTAATGTTATTTGAAATGACCTTGTTTTTTGTTTGTATGCTTTTAGCCCACATCATAAGAAAAAACAGACTAGTGACATTCCAACTATAATAAAGTTGAGAAACATCACTCATTCTCAGGCCTAAATCTAAATGATCTGTCCAGTTATGTCCAGGTTAGGTGTCCAGGAATCAATTTTTCATCACATATTCCAGCAGTGTCAGGAGGCCAGTCCATGGGTCATACACATTGCAAATCACTTCACAAAAACAATATCATTAAAATCTGGGGCTCTGGAAATCAATTAAACTGAGAATTAAACAAACAATACACAGGATCAATGAAACAAAGAATTGGTTCTTTGTAAAGATAAGCAAGATAGATAAGCCCTTAGCCAAACTAACCAAAAGAAAAAGAGAGAAGATCCAAATTAATAAAATAAGAGATTAAAAAAAAAGGAGAAATCACCACAGACATCACAGAAATCCAGTAGACCATTAGGAAGTATTCTGGAAACTTTGATAAACTGGAAAACCTGGAAGAAATGGATACATTTCTAGTCAAATATGATCTGCCAAAACTGAATCAAAGGACATAAAAACAAGTAGACCAATAACTAGCAATGAGATGAAAACAGTAATAAAAAATCAATAAAGAAAAGCCGAGGACCAGATGAATTCTCAGCTAATTTCTACCAAACTTTTAAAGAAGAATTAATGCCAATACTCCTCAAATTATTCTATGAAATAGGAAAGGGTAGAATATTTCCAAGTTCATTCTATAAAGCCAGTCTCACACTTATACCAAAACTAGATAAGGACATTGGTCAAGGAAAGAAGATTACAGACTAATATCCCTGATAAACTTAGATACAAAAATCCTCAATAAAGTATAAGAAAATTGTGTTCAACAACATATTAAGAAGATTGTACACTAAACCAGAGATGCAAGGATAGTTTAATACATGCAAATCAATAAATGTAATTCATCACATAAACAGAAATAAGGATAAAAATCACTTAGTCATCTCAATAGATGCAGAGAAGGCCTTCAGCAAAATTCAGCACCCACTCATGATTAAAAACACTGAAGAAACTGGGAATAGAAAGAACCGACCTCAACATCAAAAAGGATACACATGAAAAACCCAAAGCTAACTTCATCGTAAATGGGGAAAAACTGACAGCATTCTCTTTAAAATCTGAGATAAGAAAAGGATGTCCACTCTCACCACTCCTATTTAATATTGTGCCAGAAATTCTAGCTAGAGCAATTAGGCAAGAGAAGGAAATAAAAGGAATAAAAATAGAAAAAGAAGAAGTTAAATTATCACTGTTTGCAAATGATATGATCCTTTACCTAGAAGATCTAAAAAACTCCACCAAAAGACTGCTAGGATTAATTAACAAATCTGGCCAAATAGCAGGTTACAAAATTAACATACAAAAAAAATAGCTTTCCTATATACCAGTTCTGAGAGAGAAATCGAGTACAATTCTATTCACAATACCCTAAAAACAAACAACCAACCAACAAAAACAACAACCACAACAACAAAAACCCTGTTAATAAATCTAACAAATAAGGTGAAAGGCCTCTACAATGAAAACTATATTAACACTGAAAAAAGAAATGAAGATCTCAGAAGATGCAAAGACCTTCCATGTTCATGGATAGGCAAAATTAATATTGTTAAAATGTTAAAACGGTCATACTACCATTGTATAGATTCAATACAATCCTCATCAAAATACCAGTGATATTCTTTACAAAACTAGAAAAAAGCATCCTAAAATTCATTTGTAAGAATGTAAGATCCAGGGGCTGGGACTGTGGCTCAGCAGTAGAGCACTCATCTCACATGTGTGAGGCCCTGGGTTTGATCCTCAGCACCACATAAATAAAAAGGTATTGTGTCCACTTACAACTAAGGAAAAAAAAAAAAAAGAAGAAGAAGAATATAAGACCCAGAACAGCCAAAGCAATTCTAAGCCAAAAAAACAATGTTGGAGGCATCACAATATCTGACTTCAAATTATATTACAGAGCTCTAATAACAAAAACTGGCCTAAAACAGACACACAGATCAATGGAACAGAATAGAAGAGACAGAGACAATCCCACATATCTACTATAGTCATGTGATCCTTGACAAAGGTGACAAAACATACACTGGAGAAAAGACAGCCTTTCAACAAATGGGACTTACTCAAACTAAAAAGTTTTTTCTCAGCAAAAGAAACAATAAGAGAGGTAAATAGGGAGCCTACATCCTGGGAACAAATCTTTACTCCTCACACTTCAGATAGAGCCCTAATATCCAGAGTATATAAAGAACTCAAAAAATTAGACAATAAGATAACAAATAACCCAATCAACAAATGGCCAAGGACCTGAACAGACACTTCTCAGAGGAGGACATACAATCAATCAACAAGTACATGAAAAAATGCTCACCATCTCTAGCAGTCAGAGAAAGGCAAATCAAAACCACCCTAAGATACCATCTCACTCCAGTAAGATTGGCAGCCATTATGAAGTCAAACAACAACAAGTGCTGGAGAGGATGTGGGGAAAAGGGTACACTTGTACATTGCTGGTGGGACTGCAAATTGGTGCGGCCAATTTGGAAAGCAGTATGGAGATTTCTTGGAAAGCTGGGAATGGAACCACCATTTGACCCAGCTATTCCCCTTCTCGGTCTATTCCCTAAAGACCTAAAAAGAGCATGCTACAGGGACACTGCTACATCAATGTTCATAGCAGCACAATTCACAATAGCTAGACTGTGGAACCAACCTAGATGCCCTTCAATAGACGAATGGATAAAAAAAAATGTGGCATTTATACACAATGAACTATTACTCTGCATTAAAAAATGACAAAATCATAGAATTTGCAGGGAAATGGATGGCATTAGAGCAGATTATGCTAAGTGAAGCTAGCCAATCTCTAAAAAACAAATGCCAAATGTCTTCTTTGATATAAGCAGAGTAACTAAGAACAGAGTAGGGACGAAGAGCATGAGAAGAAGATTAACATTAAACAGGGATGAGAGGTGGGAGGGAAAGAGAGAGAGAAGGGAAATTGCATGGAAATGGAAGGAGACCCTCAGGGTTATACAAAATTACATACAAGAGGAAGTGAGGGGAAAGGGAAAAATAATACAAGGGGGACAAATGAATGACAGTAGAGGGGGTAGAGAGAGAAAAGGGGAGGGGAGGGGAGGGGAGAGGAAGGGGGGATAGTAGAGGATAGGAAAGGCAGCAGAATACAACAGACACTAGTACGGCAATATGTAAATCAATGGATGTGTAACTGATGTGATTCTGCAATCTGTATATGGGGTAAAAATTGGAGTTCATAACCCACTTGAATCAAAGTGTGAAATATGATATATCAAGAAATTTGTAATGTTTTGAACAACCAACAATAAAAATTAAAAAAAAAAGAACCAATGAAAGATGTTTTGGCACAACAGAGAAAATTTGATTATGGTTACATATTAGGTGGTATTTAAAGAATTACTGTTAATTTCATTCAGTGTGATAATGACATTGAGTTTTTTTTTCCCCTCAGGTAATATATACTATTATACTTAAGGGTGAAACTTTAGATGTTTGCCCCTTACTTTCCAAAGCTCAGCAAAACGAAACACAACAAATATATAAATACATATACACACACCCACACACACACACAGCACATACACTTAGAACAAAATCTAAAAAATGAAAATTGTTGAATGTGAGTGGATATTGTAAAATGCAGAATTTTAAAAAAAATGAACTGTGTAAAATGCAAACTTTGAAATAATAGTGTGCATTTAATTAAAATAGTGTGCATTTTATTAAAAAAAAAAGAAAAGACAGCCTTTTTAATAGATGGTCTTGGGAAAACTGGTTATCCACATGTAGACAAATGGAACTAGACACTTATCTCTCAGCCTGCATAAAAATCTACTCAAAGTTAGACCAGAAACTGCAACTCCTAGAAGAAAATGTAGGGTCGATACTCCGGTACAGGCAACAACTTTCAACAGGACCACTAAAGCTCAGGAAATAATACCAAGAGTCAATAAACAGGATGGCACCAAATTAAAAAGTTTCTGTACAGCAAAGGAAATGATCAAAAATGTGAAGAGAGAGCCTACAGAATGGGAGAAAATCTTTGCTAGCTACTATTTTGACAGAGGATTAATATCTAGAATATATGAAGAACTCAAAAATCTTTACACCAAAAAAAGCAAATAACCCAATTAATAAATGAGCAAGTAAATAAATAAGACACTTCTCAAAGAAATACAAATGGCCAAAAAATATATGAAAAAAAATGTTTAACATCATTAGCAATTAGGGAAATGAAAATCAAAACTACACAGATTTCATCTTACACCAGTCAAAATGGCAGTCATCAAGAATACAAATGAATGTTGGAGAGGATGTGAAGAAAAAGAAACACTTTTACACTCCTGGGGGGACTGTAAATTAGTATAACCACTATGGAAATCAGTATGGAGGTTCCTTAAAAGACAAGGCATGGAAGCACCATATGACCCAGCTATGCAACTGCTCAGCATTTATCCTCAAGAATTAAAAGTCATATACTATAGCCATACATGCATACATGTTTATAACAGCACAATTCACAATAGCCAAACTACAGAGCCAACCTAGGTGTCCATAAGTGGAAGAATAAAGAAAGAAAATATGGTATATGTACAAAATGGAGTTTTTGCTAAACTTTACCTTAATACACATTTTAATATTAATACTATCCCATTCATCAAA